GGTCAGGCCTTGGTTTGTGTGCTGGAAGATGTGTTAACGGTGTATTGCTGTGCGTTGCCCATGTTCTCCCTGACATTCTCTTGGTCAGTAATATGCTATATATATAGTGTATATATAGAGTATATATTATCTATACCACTAGTATAGTATGTATCCCACTATATACATAAAGTAGTAACTGTGGTTTAAAGCAGAAGGTGGAGTAGGGGCATCCAAGTAAGTTTTGGGACTCTTGAGTTCTTGCTCTTGTCTTCTGGCTACTATGAGCCTGCTACTGCTCTGCTTCGTGTGATTATACTTGGGTTGATGGCACCTAGGTGTTCTCAAACTGGAACCCTATGTTTATGTTCTCTTACACTGGTTCTTTGTATTTTTCTGGGTCCAGCCTTTGTTTTTCCCTCTATGGGCAGTTCTTACACTCAGTAATGTTGGGTTCAAGCTGCAGAGTACGTTGTTTTCTGCCCTTGGTTTTTCTAGAGCTTGTGGTGGCAAAAGGGATTGTGTGTGGAAGTTAGTTTTTCTCCTGAGCTTAGTCTGGCTTTGTTTATGTATTAATTTTAAAAGCAAAGCTGCAGCAACTTTTTGCTTTAAAAGTCATTATAATCTGTTTACAAGTGACCAGAAATCTCTACCACATTGGACAGTTAAAGCCTTCTAGGGCTGGCATCGGTTGTTCTGGAGCAGCAATGCTGCAGGATAAGAGACTTTTTGCACTTACAGCAGTGTATTTGGTTTAATATTCCCCTTGCTCCTAGTTAGTCTTTATTCCTTTTGGCTTGAAATAATGGAATAAAGTAATTTGTGTGGAACTTAGGCGTGCTGGAGAGTTTTCAGTAGGCTTCACTGCTATTTGCTGGAAACTCTGGAGGCTTAGAAGAAAATCATCTCTTTCGGGTGATACCCAGAAGGTCCAGGTTATGATATATTGCCATTTTGGAGCACTTTTTTGAGCCCTGCCCAAATAAAATGGCTTAAATAAAATTACTGAACTCCCTAGCAATGTCCAGCATGGAGAATATGTTCTAACTGTTGAAGTGCCTAGCAGCAAGGTGGACTTCACCTAGCTATGGAGACCGCAGCTTGCCACCCATACAGCTGAGGGTTCGTTCACTAAATGTGCTGCCCGAAAATTCACTTGTCTCGTATGAATACACTTGTGTGACTTTATTTGTGTGCTTGATGTCTTATCTCAAAGAGATGGCACAGTCATTTGAAGGGTTGGAGTCTATGATTATGCCAAGGTCGCAGATCACTGGCGTTATCTACCTTGTTCCTGAGCTGAGAATTCTCCTGTTGTTTGTGGGGGAGTGCAGGAATGAAGGGAAGGGGGACTGTGATGTGCTTGAGTAGCCACTGGCAGCCCCAAATCATATAAAAGGGCTTTGGATAAGCATCCCTGCAGAGGTGGGTGCTCGCCGCAGCCATCTGCCTGGGCGTCTGTCACCAGTTCCTGCAGGGGTCTGATGCAGCAGTCTCGTAGCTACGGGGTTCTTCGAAAACGGTGTCACAAGTTCAGGGCAGGGGTGAGAAGGGGAAGCAGCACAGGCAGAACCCTCCAGAAGATGGATTCAGGGAATCCTCCGCCCTCATTCTTCCTGCCCACAGGCGGTGTGGTGGCACGGTGGGTCACACCAGTGGCTTGGCTGGGTCCGTAACCCTCTGGCTTGTTCAGCTAATGCTTAGAAATGCCTTTTGGCTTTCAGCTAAACTCAGGGAAAGGCTCGGGCTGGCTTGCTTTCTCAGTCACGTCTTCAGCCAGGAGAGCAAGTTCATTGAGATCTCTAATACATTATAGTAACGCTGATGTTTCAGAGGCACTTCCCCAGGTAGATCTGTCGGTTCTGGGGCATTTTGCTACTTGGCAGTTTTTTGGATGGAGGTAACTCAGTGCCTGAGGCCTCTGAACTCTCCTCCTGCCTGGTGTTCCCTTTGGTGTTAAAAACAACGGCCAAATTTGTGTAGTTCTGGGCTGTGGATGTCCCAGGAAAGCAGCACACAACCAGCCGAGCATCTACAACTCCTCCATCCACCCTTGCTGCATGATTTTGGATTTAAAAGATACATACTTTTAAAACCAGAAGAGCAATGAAGAGGAAGTTGTTATTAATATTGGACAGCAATGCAAACTGCTGGTATCAGGTCTGGGGAGTAAAGTGAAATGTGCTGCTCTGTCATGGTGCTCCTTCAAGTTTGCTGTGTGGGATGCTGTTGGTGTTGGATGGACATGGAGGTTGGGTCTAGGCAAGAGAGGAAACAGTGAAAGGAAGGACACCAGAAGGAGATAGCAGCAGGTGTAGGTATTGAACAAGCTGACAGCATCCCTTCCAAGGGCTGGGTCATCACTGACCCTCTTGTCTCTGTTCCTCTAAAATACTACCATCTTCTGATGAAAAACCATGTGCATGTGACCACGAATATGTGGTTCTGTGATACACTCCAGCTTTTGCTTCCCTAATTAGACATGGTTTGACATGGTGTGGAGCAGGGGGGAAGCATGTTCAAGAGTCTTGTCTAAAGAAAATACTGTTGGTGTGAGGAGAATGCTTTAAGGCCCCAGTTGTGATTAAAACCTATTGCTTGAGGTGTTGTTTCCCCATGTCAAGAAGAGATGCTTGGGTATGAGTTGGCTTAATGTCCACTGCAGCTGCAGTCTCCTCCATCGGAGCCTGAGGATATTCTTCCAGAATGTTCACCCAAATGTGTCCTCATTCCTGGCTAGAGGAGGTTGTGATGTCTCCTGGTCCTGTCGCTCACAGCAGTGCAGGCAGCGAAAGGGTTGCTTCTTCAAGTCTTGGAAGTTGCAGACAACATGAAGAAATCCACCTGTGTGCTAAGATAAATCTGTCAACACAAAACAAGTGTTGGGGCTCCTGGTAAAATCTGCGGAGGCAAATGCATACTTTGATATCCATTTCCCTGTGTCAGGCACTGCTTTGATCACAACTCATTGCACTGGGGAGGCTTGGAGCAGTTACTGTGAAGTGGCTGTTCTGAGCACAGGGAGTTGGTGGCCACGTTAGCTCCCAGCTCCAAACTTCACTGCTGCATCTTCTGCTTCCTCGCTGCTGCTGCTGCTGCTGCTGCTGCTGCTCTGTGGCTTCCCCATCCTCCAGACCCTTTTGCCCTTCCTCATGCCTCATCCTTTACATGGAAGTCAAGAGATGGGTTTTTCAACAAAAGTCCAGAATGCTTTCACCCTGCGTGACTCTCATCATTTGGTCCCATGGTCCTGGCCTACCATGAGGCAGACTTTGATTACAGCCAGGTGTTTGGAGATGGGACAGGACAATATGAGGAGTTAAAGCACAGAAACATGCATGAGCATGGCGTGCAAACCCCTTGATTCTTTTGGCCAACTCATAGTTCAATAACTGGCAGCACTCTCTGCGATCAGAGTAACTGGGGTGCCTGACCTCAGTGAAGCTGTGATCAGGTCCTCACCCTGTGTCCTCACTGGTGTGGTTGTATGTGGGCATAGAGCCCATACTTGGGTGCTGCTGCAATGCACTTAGATTGACTTGACTGGTTCTGTATTTGACAGGCCTCTGCAGGAGTCATCAGGGTCCTGCATGAGGATGGGAGACCATGTAAACAGCAGACACCTTTACTTGTGGCTGCTGGTCCCAGCCCCATGCCAATCAAGCTGCAGTGGATGGGACTTATAAAAGCTTGGGAATTTATTCCCCTCTCCTGGGTAGGCACCCAACCACATCCATCGAGGCTCCTCATTTATATCTGAACACAGCCACCTCTGGGGAACCAAATTTCTCTTCCCTAATGTGTGCAGGGGGAGGTTGGTGGCCATCCCTGCGGGCAGGGGCTGGTAGCAGACCTCAGTACCTTGTATAGAGGAGCTGCATTGCCCCATACCAGCCTGCTCCTGCTGCACTGACATAGCCAGACCATTAAATATGTAGAAGGAGGAGAAAGCACTTTGCCTTGCTTTTATAAATAATAGCTGCACTGTGAGGAGTGTTTAGTGTAATTACTGCAGGGGAATAAACAGATTTGAGAAGAGAGGACCTGCCCTTACCCCTCGACAGCCCCATACGATGGAGGGGGTTTGGGGGAGGATGGGTAGAGGCGAAGGGTTTAGAGGCTGAGTTGGTGACTTGCAAGGAAGCTCTGCTGGGACGCAGCTGGAATAGCAGGCGCTGACATTTGCTAGTCAGAGTTCAAACAAAGATCCCTGTATTGGCTTTATTAGCGAGGCAGTGCTGGGGACACTGGTGGATGTGTCCTGCCCTGGCCCCTGCCCTCCTCCAGTTCCTCTCCATTGCCCTGCGCTTCAGGCAGTGCCTCTCCCGAGGAGGAATTTGGAGGCGAGGGACTTGTGTTTAAAGTGCTTTGTGTGAGACGTCAGCTCGGGGCTGTAAACAGCGCGTGGTTCTGCTCGGAGAAAGTACAGAGCTGCCACTGGTGGCATTTTTCCATTAAGGCAAGGGCTGGAAACCTCCTGGCATGGAGAGCTGTGCTGTAGCTGTGGGAGGGAAGTCTCTCTGCGGAACGCTCCCACTGTCAAAAATAAAGAAAAAATAAATGAAAATTAAGAAAAAAAAAACAAACCACAAAAAAATAGCAAATCAAGGGAGCAGCATAGCGGCATCCCTGAGCTGTTTGTTTTAATTGTGCAGTTTCTGTTCCATGCAGCACTTGGGTGGGATTCGCTGATGAAAGATGGTCATTCACCTCTTCTCTTCATGTGAGCATGTTGTTTAGGAGCTCTTGGGCGTACGAATTGTCTGTGTATTAGGTTTTTGTGAATAACAGCTACACTTGAGATTGCAGGTCTGTTACTTTAATTTGTATTACTATCAATATAAATGGCACATATATCTATTTTGCTTGTTTATTTATTTGATACCTTTACAGTCAAGGAACGTGGACCTGGTGTCTCTGAATTCACTTTCCATGACCTATCTTGCCCCATCTCTCCTTCCTTCAGCACTGAATCCCATAGAGCAGTCAAGTGCAATTCTCTCTTTCCTTCTTGCTTTCAGACCCGGACTGGGCATCCCACAACCTAGGGATCTTCATCTGCTTAAATTGTTCAGGAATCCATCGCAATATTCCCCAAGTCAGCAAAGTGAAGTCAGTCCGCCTGGATGACTGGGATGATGCTCAAGTGGAGGTACGTGCATCTGAGGTGTGAAGTACCAGTGAGCTTGGGGTGCTGTGTTTAACCAGCAAAGTTGTAAACCAGAATCCTTTCTAAAGATGCCACAACAAAAGTGATTTTAGAAAACATGTCTAGATAATTCCTGAGTGTGGGAGTGAGGTCAATGGTGCTGATTGAAAAATGGAGTAGCCATTTCATAAAGAAGCTGTGAGGGTTTTCCCCACCCCTGTAGAAATATCAATGAAACAGGATGTGTAGAAGTAACTAAATGAATTGTCTTCTGTTCCTTACATTACCTGTAGCTTAGACCAGGCAGTAGGCTAGCCCTTGAGTCTGCCCCCCCTGCCCAGCTCACCAGTTCCTGGCTTTGTTCCACTTGGTGTTGAAGACCCTTAAACTCACATCTCAAAGAACCGAACCCTTACAGTATAAATTCTCTTTAAGCCACACACCTGCCTAGATTTGGGTGATGTTGCTAAGGATAAGCCTACCCAGAAAACCCATCTACTTTGACTCTTGGTGCCTTTAAAGGCATGAAGAACGCTACCAGTCTTTGATCTTTATCTTGTTCTTGTATGTTGTAGATTTGAGTTTTTTATGAAAGCCACAGCTCAGAGTGTCATGTGTTTTATGAGAAAAATAGGCCTTTGTGTTGCATGGGTTTTCCCTTCCCTGATTTTCTTTTTAGAACAGATTGAATATGTAAACTTGAGAAGCTCAAAACCGTTAAAATAATGGGGAAAAAATGTTGGGGGGGGGGGAAGCACTTTGCTGCTTGTTTATGCTTGTATGCTTGGCTTTTGATACAAGACAAAATGTATTTAGAATGGCTGCCTGGAAAATAATGGGGTTTTTTTTTTTACACTTACAAAGTGACTTTCATTACATAAAATTTATGAATAGGGGAATATGTGGGTTTGTTTGCAGAGTTCTCGACTAGACTTTCATATCCGAGATCAGAAGGAAAGGAGGGCTGTCAGGGCAGATAGGATGTTTGTTTGTTTATTTATTCATTTATTAGATGCTTCAAACCCCTGAGCTTGCTGGCACGGCTTTGGAAAAATAAAGTTATCCTTTCGGAACAAGTGATGTGATCCAAAACAAAAGGTGCATTGTCGGAGACTGTTACCTCTCTGGAACCGTAACACACAGGGACTTGAAGTCAGTGTCAGGTTTTGCCTTCTGGTTACCTAATTTCTGTGCTGGATTCCCTGGGAGTAATTTCATTCCTATGCCTGCAAGTGGGAAATGCCACCGTGTGCTGCCTTCTGCTCCTGTGGGGACCAGTGGGGATTGTGCACGTGTGACTGGGACATGGACGTGTCCTCAGCATCATGTTAAGCTGTGAGCCCTGGCAATAATAAACAACATTAATTTCTGAGCCCTGATTTGCAGGCACAGTCTTTACAGCGTCCCTTCTGTGTACAGTCCTGGGGAAACCTCTTAGTAAGGGAACAGAGGCTCCATCCCAACAATTTTATTACTGTGTAGGTGCAAAAGAGGGCAAAGGAAAATACTGTTAACATTTTTTAATTCTTTCTGCTTTTTTTCTTTTTACAGTTTATGGCTGCGAATGGGAACAATGTAGCAAAAGCAAAATATGAATCTAAAATGCCACCGTTTTATTATAAACCAACGTTTCTTGACTGTCAGTAAGTAAATACCTCTGCTGGTAAACAGCATTTATTTGTTTGTGCAGCTGCAGCCTCTCTAATATTTTAGTTTTAGCATCATATGTTTTTTTTTAAGCCACAGAGGAGGTTTCATTTATAAAAGGCCTGAAAATCTTTTTTTCTTCTGCACGCATATGGTAGAGTTTATATGACGTGTGGGATCTTATTTAATAAGTACAGTTGAGACGATGCTGGGAAGTCAATAGTTTGTCTGTTCCCCAGACTCTTCCAAGTTTCTAAGGCTACAAAAAAATGCCAGTTTCTACCCATTGATTTCCTCTACCTTTTCAAATAGCCCTTCTGCATCAAAACAGAGCTTGCTTATCAGCTATATGAGATGCTGGGTTACTTGTAATGCAGAAATGCTGGGGTTTAGGGACAAGCTGGTGGATTGTCTTTTTTTGCCTAAATGTCAAATAATCTTCTCCATGAAAGCAAGTGACAAGGTATTGTCTCCCATAGAGCATAGAGTAAACCACTACTAAGTCGGGGTAGACCTTGTAGACTGAGAGGGTTGGGTGGCCAGAACGTGCTGTACCATCCAGGGAGCAAGAAGGGTGAACTGAACTTGGTTTTTAGGATCCAGTCCTGCAGAGTACCAAGGGGGTTTTCTATCTTTGTGAAACCATTCTTTACGGAGGGTCTGGAGGGTATAATTTCAATATCAGCAAACTGGTGAGTGCTGGTTGCTCAGATCTTCCCAATATTGGTGCTTTAGCTGGGTGTCTCTTGTTGAAGAGAGAAGTGTGATTTGGTTGCGTAGTGGTGGTGTGAAAATGGTGTGCGAGGCTCTGAGCAGCTGGATGATGTATTCAAGCATTGCAAGAGGTGCTCAGAACAGAAATATGGGGAGGGTTCGTAGGGCTCCATGCATGAGATGTCAATGTTTGGGTAGGAAGGCTCTGTGTTCCCCAAACCTGAAATCATACCGTGTGTGGGACAAAGTGTTCATGAGTACCCATGCTCATACTCAAAGTGACTTTGTATTTTTAATCTTCTTGTAATAGCCATTAAGAAGAGTTATTGTCTTCCTACATCACACAAAAAGTCCTTTATAGTAAAGGCAAAAGAGGAGACCTCTTGTGTCTGTGAAGTTATCTTAGTGGTGCATCTGTTACCTCCCATTTGATGATGCTCAAATGCTAAATCTGGGAAGGCCCAGGAGTGAGTGGCACTGCCTTGCCTGACAATAAAAAAGCACATCCATTTATGCAATGTTCCCAGATCTTGGTTTTGATCTAAAATGGCTTCTGGCAGCAGCTTCCACAGTTCCTACAAGTACAGAAATGATTTGGGGATGGGCGAAGCCACCGTGTGTTGTGGAGAGGCACACTCTTGATTATGTTGTGATCGTCTTGCTAGGATTATTTTTCTCCAGGATAAAATCCGCAGCCTCTTACCTTTCCTATTGCTGGAACGCCTCTGCTGTTGTGGGAGATATCCCAAGGAGAAGCCAGCAGGAAGGTGCTCCCAGACAGAGTGATCCTGCAGGTCTAGGGGAGGAGATGGTGCAAATGTAACTGAAGGTGGCAGAGCCATTGTTTTGTTGGTTTGGTTTTTTTTTTTTTATTAATTTCATAAAAGCAGCTTCAGCAAAGACTTCTTTGTTTGTTTTTAACCCTGTCTCTCCCAGAGTAGGGAAAGGGGAAGGCTTGCATATGTTTGACCATCTTGAATGGTTGGGGCCTTTCAGGTTCTACTCCCACCTTGAACTGGTCTTCAGGGATCACCCCTGGTCTTGGTTTAGGGAATGTGGGGAAGATGCTTCATGTGGGATTTCCTCAGGACTCAGAAGTGCTTGTGTGGGTGAGGATCTGAAAGGTCAGGGCTGTGATTTAATAAGGAGTTATTATGGAATAGTAATGCCTCAAATGGTGGAGGAGTTGGAGGGGGCTCCCTTTGTGACAATCAAGAACAAAATCTGCCTGCTCTTGCCTGTCCACACTCAAACAGGATTGCTGTTCTTTCACCTCACACAGGCCAGGCTTCCTACTTTTCTTCACACTCTGGGCACAGTGTTGACCCATCCATCTCCATGCACAGTATCCTGCCTCTTTCTCCCCTGACCAGCAGACTAGCCCAAGGGCAGATGTATCCTATTACTGCAGGATTTGGTGGCCAGAGTTTTATGATGTCTGCGGTGCGCCTTGCAGATGGCTCTAGTGTCCTTATCCCTGTGCATCAACTGTTTCTTGCATCTTGCTGTGGAAGTAGATTGTACTTCCTAAAATGGATTGACAAAAGGAAAATCAATGATGATTTCTCTCTTGCTTCTCCACAGAGTTAGGCTGAAACAAAAAGTCTTTTGGTAGTGCGTTTTTCATGCTTGCTTCCTTTGCCTTCTCCTTAGTGTCTCTTTGATACAAGGAAGATGGGCACACCAAGCTCTCCATGCTATCCAGACGGGAGGAAAACTTGTGGCTCTGCCAGCAGCTGGGAGGCGGATGCCATCTGTGTTGAAGAAGCATCTCTTGTGAACTGTCATGGTCCTGAGAGGATCCAGTACCACGTTTGTATCTCTGAACTCCAAAATCCCAACAGTTGGCTGTGCTGTTTTGAGGCTTGCATGTACTTGTGATGTTAAGGATGCAGAAGCAGGATTGTTCACCTAGTTGTCATTGGTAGGAGAAACACAATTCTAGCAGACTTAAATTTTGTCTACTCTGAAGTCTCAGTTAAATTCAGTTCTTTTCCGTGGTCCATCCCTTGTGCTGGTGGAATCCAGCTGGAAGTGGGGCAGGTCCCTCTGCAGATTTGGGTGTCCTGAGATCTGCGTGCAGATCGTACCCAGCTCTTCTTGTGTTGGTCAGGCTGAAGGGATACTGAAAGCTCTCCTTATGGCTCAGGCAGCTTAGGGACCACAAGAGTTTAATTCCTTCTGTTCTCAGGCTGGCAGAAATGTCTGTGACTGGTTCTGTGCTTGGTTGGTTTGGCTTCTGCAAGCTTTTGATACTGCAGCTCAGGCTTTGCTGCTAGGATATTTTCTCTCCCTCCATCCTGCAGTGCAGTTGCACTCTGGGGAGCTTCGCCAAGCGGTGGCTGAGCTCCAGCCGCAGCCTGTAAGAGCTGTCTGCAAGCACACGGGGACTGTGCTGGGACAGCCGCTCTGTTCACAGGCTTTCCTGACACCCAAAGGAGAGGCACATTGCTGGGTGTATAACCTACGAGAAACAGGAGCAGGAGGGTTAAGGGGTTTCGTTGTTCTGTCGCTTCTTCTTTGTCCTTTACTGTAAGACTGACTGACTAGGAGGATGAGGCAAGGCTAGTCTTCCTCCAAGTGGCTGGAAGACCAGTTTCTGTTCCTAACTTGTGCCTATGGTCTAGTGGGAGGTGACCCTGCCCATGGCAGGGGATTGGACCGAGGTGATCTAAAGGTCCTTTCCGACCCAAACTACTCTATGATTCTATTTTACACAGGGCCAATTTACAACTGATTCCTGAACTGACCCTGGAGCTGTGCTCATGTAGGTGGTTCTCCAGCCCAGCGCTGCTGGTTCTCTGCAGTAGCAGCAGGGATAGATGTGACCCCCTTGCAGATCTCCTTCTGAGAGTGCCGCAGTATAAGCAGCTGTGGGTATTTGCATGTTGGAAATGTTTCAAGGATGGTGTGCTAGGTTGTATTTTTCTTTCTGTAGTTAGAGCCTCTCTGTGCCTTTCAACAGATGCATGCTAAACAAGAGCAGGGGAGTGCTGCTTTTTAACGTGGTATATATTTAGCTTTCTCCCTGCCTTGCTGTAGTCCAGTCACTGCAATAGCATGAGATGTTCCAAGCTCGCAGCCCTGGGTAGCATCGCGATGGATGACACCTCCATCTCATGCTGGCACCGTGCCGATGTGTGCTGACCCACATTCTGCGGCATCAAGAGGTTTTGATGCTTCTAATTACAAAACCCATGCTGGCTGGCTGCAGGGGCTGGGCAGGCTTTGTGCCAGCTGCCCTCAGACTTGGTGTGGCAGGATGCTAACGTACAAGCTGGAATCAGGACAGGCTGTTTGTTCATTTAAATCTTAATTTTATAACGCTACTTCTGGAGTCCCTCTTCTGTGGCTGCTTGAAGAATTGCAAAGTTCAGAGCAAGAGAGAAGTGCTGCGGCAGCAGCTTGTCCTTTTTTCTTCTTGCCTACGATGTTGTGTTTGACTCCTTGGGAAATATGTGGTGTTTGCCTGCTGCATCTGGCTTCTGCATCCTCCAGAAACCCCATTGTGGCTCCCTGGCTCTGTCAGACACTTGGCAAAGGTTAGAGAAGTTGGAGGGGTGCTCAGAAATTGCCCAGGGAAAATTTACCAGCTGTGCACACTCAAATAAACCACCCAACCAAAAAGAAAAATCCCCTTCTGTCCTCTCCTCTCGTCTTCTGCCTGCCAGCAATTTGGCCCATGCAGCAGGAGCAGTGAGCAGAGCAGCCAACTTCTGTACCACTGGGGAGTCCCTGAGGCTGAAATGAGTCCCGGAATCTGGGATGTTCCTGCACTACCGCAGGGTTGGCCACAAGAGCTTTGGGTGAGGAACTTAAACCACACAAACCCTCTTTGGATGGTCACGAGTGGTCACAGCCCAGCTTTGTACATCACAGCAGCAGGCTGAGAGCTGTGAAACAGCCTTTTCTGAGATAGGTACGCTGCAGGCACACGGTTGAGTTTTGAGTCACCAGTGAGCAACAGGGGTAGCATTGCCTTTGAGTAAAAGCAAAGGAAAAAGGCTTTGTTCAGCTGTATGCTTGGCTGAAAACTGACAGAAGAAGATGGAGATAAGCTGTTACTGAGCTTTTTCAGTACTGGGAGTACATCCATGTCCCTGCCCAATACTTAACATCATTTTCTGTTGCCTTTTTGCTTGATTTGGGAGCACAGAGCATCATCCTGCAGAGCTGCCTGAGAGCTACAGTGCATTGCTCAGTTCCTCTCTGTGCTTGGATAAGTGGGAGCTACATCTGCTCCTTATACAGAACACTTACATATACTGACTGCCAGTACATC